TCTCTCTCTGCCTCAGGAAGTCCAATTACTCTTAGGTTTGGTCTCTTAAAGTGATCATTCATCTCTTGCAGGTTTTGTTCTGTCTTTTTGAGCTTTTTTTCTATGCTTTTGACAGTTTGGGTTAGTTCTGTGTTTTGGTCTTCGAGTCCTAAGATTCTTTCTTCTGCTTGGCTGATTCTACTTTCCATGCTTATTAGTCTGTTATTCATTTCCATCACAGTATTCTTTACTGCTGTCATTTCTGACATCAGCTTCTTCCTATTTTTCTTTTGTCTCTGCTCAATTTTTAAAATTCTCTCCATTAATGTCTTGATGTCTGGGTTTGTTGCATGTAACCAGTCATTCTGGGGGCTCTTCATTGTTTGTGTTCCAGAATCTGTTTTCTCAGTGTCTGATCTCCCAGGGGTCTGTGTGAGACCTATATTCTTCTTTTGGTTTTTCTTCATTTGTGCGGTTTTTCCCCCTCCCTACTTTTTCCTTTCCTCCATGTCACCATCTTCTTTAATTCTGTTATTCAGGGGTAAAGGGATTGGTTTTACTTCTGTTTATTCAATCTCCTATTCTTTATGTATGCCCTCTTACTTTGTTCAATTCTGGAGTTGCACTGTAGGTTGGGGGTGGTCCTTTTTGCAGTTTTGAGATTTACTTAAGGGGGGAGCTGCGATTCAAAATCTACCTGCAGGTCCTGGTATTGGCTGACAGGTGTGTGAATAATCTGGAACCCACTTCTCACTGCCTTGGAATCTGTCCATGCAGTGGGGCTGTAGGTTTACTCCCTGAAATAAAATGTGGTTAGCAGAGGGGAGAGAATGGAGCAGACAGTGGGTTGAAGAGGGAGGTGGAGAGATAGAGGAGTAAGGGGGGAAACAAACGAGTGTGCCAACAAATAGAGAGAGAGGCCTATACTGAAACAGATAAAAACAATAGACCACAGCTACAGATGAACCAACTCTCATACAAACAAAAATAAAACATACAGTGATGCTAACATACCAGCTATCCAACCACCTTATTAGTGTGCTGTTCCTCTATACAAAGATATGGTTTACAGAGAGAACAAATGAGAAGAAAAGGAAGAGGAAAAAAGAAAAAAAGGAACAATACAGTAGGAATAGAATTAAGTCATTAAACTAACAGAATCAATGAAGCACACTCTGAGACATTTCGTTTAAGTCCAATGTCCTTTCAGGTCTGATTTCTAGTTTTCTTTTCAAGCTGGTAAATTAGTTTGCAGTTAGTGTCAGTTGCCCCTGGTCTGCTGTGAAGGACAGTGCAGATTACCCTCCGTTCAGCACTCTGGTCTATGTCTTTATCAAGCTTGTTTCTCCCGTTTCGATGTTGTTACCTTGAATCACCAGCAGGTGGTGCTATCTAAGCTGCTCGCCCCAGAGAGGGTGGGGCCGGACAGGGACAGCAGAGGCTGAAGATGGCAAAATGGCTGCCTGCCTCAGGGCAGACGGCAGGAGACTTATGGCAGGCAGGACGTCTCGATTGCAGGAGAGGTGGCAGCGATCCCAGCAGATTTTCCCTGAAGGGGCTTTAAGGACTGAAGTTGTGGATCGCCTCCGGCCCCGGTGGTGCGAGGTGTTACCAGTGGCGGTGGCGGTGGCTGCAGCGGCTGCAGTGGCAGCATCTGCACTACAGTGGCTGTCCAGACCGCTGCGATGCCCCAGAGGTGGCAACAGCCGAGCTCCGTATGAAGAGCGGGCTGCGATGTTAGGGTCCGTAGCCCCCGGGGCAAGAGTCAGAGACACACTGCAGTTCTCCTTTGCAGAGGTTTTCACAGACCAGGTTGCCCCGTTGCCATCTTGCCGGAAGTCCTCCATTATTTTTCTTTCAGTGGGCTTGCCTAGACCTTCTGAGTGGATTGACTATTGCATTCCATTTTAGCAGTAGGGTGTGGCTTAAGCTCAGGTTAGACATGAGTCTACACCTTTGATGCAGTGTCTGAAATGGATGGGCATGTGGGAGATTCAGAAAGCCCACCCAACTGTGTGGGAAAGCTGGTCAGGCTCTTGAGCCTGGAAGAGATGTGAATCATACTTCCTACTGCATGACAACTAGAAAAAGCTTCTCTGGTTAGTGTGGTATCTCCTCTGCCCAGGACGGTGAGCTACTGTCAACTAGTGTGTGCTGGCTGAAGCCTGCCCTAGCACATTCTTTTTCTGTATTTTGCCTCAGGTGGTTCAACTCCATTAGTACTGGTGGTGATCCTCATGGGTTGATCAAGGAGTGCATCCCCCATGAAAAAACCCAGGCTGGTGGGAAAGCCAGATGTCTGCCTCCAGTCCACTAATTCCAGTGTAGAAACTTTAAGTTCATAGAGACTTATGGTACCATAAGAGCTTGCAAAGAGGGTCATCAGAGACACAGATAACTAATTCTCTAATTATCCAATGATGGTTTTACACATCTTTGTGGTCCAAAGGGGCTTCATGTTCTCACTTCTGGGTTTTTTTCCCTTAGTTCTTATGAAGGTAATTCCATGTGTGGACATTTATTCAAATACATGCTTCTGTAGAAGTACCAACACTAAAGAGATCTACTCCACCATCTTCCTCTGATTCTTTTCTAGACAATTTTACTGTCACATTTTGAGAGTTTTTGCTATGATATGGATACAATCTATTTTCCAATATATGCTTTGCAATGATTATCTCCCAGTCTGAAGACTTTCTTCTCATGCTCTTCACAGTGTCTTTTGGAGAGAGGTTTAAAAATGGGGTGAAATCCAATTGTTATTTTGTGATTTGTGTTTTGGGGTTGTATCTAAGAATGTTTTGCAAAGCAGAAATTCACCAAGATTTTCTTCTAGAGATTTTAGGAGTTTCAGGTTTAACGTTTAGTTTTATGATTTGTTTCCAGTTCATTTTTAAAATCATATGTTATTGATTGAAGTAAAATTTCTTATTGATCCAGCAGCATTTGTTGAAAAGTTAATCATGAACAGCTGAATTGCCTTTCATCTTTTTTAGCACATGTACGTGTTGGTCTATTTCTTAGATTTCTTACACTTTTTTATTGATCTATTTATTTTTATTGCTGTCCTTCCATACTAGTTCTCAGTCTTTGTTCTGTTTTTCAAAGTGGTTTGGACTACTTTTTTTTTTTTTTGAGTCAAAGTCTCACTCTGTTGCTCAGGCTGGAGTGCCATGGCATACTCATGGCCACCCAAGCATCAGCCTGCTGGGCTCTGGCAATTCTTCCACTCAGCCTTCCAAGTAGCCAGAACTTCCATGCCAGTTAATTTTTGATTTATTGTAGAGACGAGGTCTCACCAATTTGCCCAGGTTGGTCTTGAACCTGCAGGCTCAGGCAATGCACTTACTTTGGCCTCCCAAAGTGCTGGGATTGCAGGCTGAGCCACTGAGCCTGTCCAGTTTCTTCTATTTTAAATACAGATATATTCCTTTTTATTTGCATGCTAATTTTAAAATCAATGTCAATTTCTGGCCAAAAGTATTTTATGGCCTACTGGAATTTATCATTGGGATTGCATTAAATCTATAGACCATTTCAGGAGAATTGATCTTAACAAAATTGTGTCTCTTAAAGAATCATCACAGCTTCACACTTCTGTTCAGATATTCTAGGTTCTTTGAAAGGCAATTCCAGGTGTGGAAATATATTCAAATAGATAGATATTTCCACAGGGGTACAAATAGTAAAAAAGTCCTATTTCACCAAATTAGTGGATCCTTTTCTTGATCAATCAAATTATATTTTGAGAATTCTTTCAATAATATTGATACAATCTATTCTGCAATTTATGACTGAAATGATTTTCTTCCAGTGTGTGAGATGTTTTCTGATGTTTTTCACAGGGGCTTTTGAAGAGAAGTTTAAAAATCAGATGAAGTCCCATGGTTGCTTTATGGTTTGTGTTTTGATGGCTGTCTGTAATCAAACTTTGCCAAACACAGAAGTCACATCTCTAGGAATTTTTCCATGAGATTGTATGAGTTTTAAGTTTCATATTTAGTCTTATGGTTCATTTTAAGGTAATTTTGGGTTGGAATGAGAATTGATAGGCTAGAAGTTAATTATTCAGTTGACCCGACAGCATATGTTGGAAAAATTGTCCTGAATGACTGTGTTGCATTTCCATGTTTGTTGCACATACATGTGTGGGTATATTTTTTGGATTCCATCTTGTTTTTGTTGGTCTATTTATTTAGATTAATGTGAGTCCACAGTGTTTTGTTAATTGCTAGCAAGTTTAGCCAATCAAGCACTCTTAATCTCTAACTTTGTAGTGGGTGAATTTTTTGTCTTTATTCTGATCAGTTTTGTCTAATTTAAATGCAACTGCTTATACATTTCTTTGTATTTACATGTGAACTTTAGATTCAACTTATGAAGCCATATCCTGAAATGCTTTAAAGCCTAGTAGGATTTTTTTTTACAGTGATAACATTAAATCCATAGATTGTTTGGAGGAATTTGACGTCTTACCTGTGTGGAAACTTCATGTACTATATGTACTTAGGAGCTATGTACTTTACATTCTTAGGAGCTATGTTCTTAGGGTTCCTTGAATTTCTCTCAGTATACAGCCCTTTCACGTATATAGACCATCCCATTCAAAAGAGCAAAGTATAGACACCTCTTCTCTAGGATTCTGAAATATTTGCCAATATAAAACCTACCTTCTGGTCATCAAACAAGACTTGTACACTTGAGAGCACAGCAGTCATACAAGAGGTGTAGTCTGACCGCCATGTGATTCTGTTGAAAATCAACAACAAAGGACTCTGGATCATTCCAAACTATTTGCTAAGTCAATAAAACACGTGTAATTAAGACACGGTTTAAAGATGACACACCAATGACAAAGTGTTTTATTTTATTTTATTTTTTATTCTCTTTGTTCCTTTTTTAAAATTGATCATTTGAAATGTTTGTTCTTTACTCATATTTTTCTTTTTTTTATAAACAATATTTTTTATTATGATATTGGGGGTACAGTTAAGGGTTAGGTATACAAATATGCTTCGTTCAGGCACCCTTGTTGATAAGAGGTGTCTCCCCGTCCCCAGGCAGATGTTTACTACCATTAATCCCATCTCCCTTCCCCTCCCTCCCCCCCCATAGTTTCCCACCACTGTCAGTCATTTTCTTATGGTAAGAGTTGGATGATCAAGGTCCACTATATGAGTGAGAACATGTGATACTCGGATCTTTGTTTCTGTGAGAGGTCATTCAGTATTATAGACTCTAGTTCCATCCAGGTTGCTGCGAAATTCATGATTTTGTTCTTTTTTATGGCTGTGTAGTATTCCATTGTGTATATGTACCACATTTTTAAAATCCAGTCCTCTTTTGAAGGACAGCATGGTTGTTTCCAGGTTCTTGCTATTGTGAACAATGCTGCGATAAACATATGTGGCAGGTATCTTTTTTATAGAGTGATTTGAGTTCTTCAGGGTATATTCCCAGTAGGGGGATTGCAGGGTCATATGGGAGGTTGATATTTAGAGCTTTTAGGAATCACCACACTGCTTTCCACAGAGGTTGCACTAGTTTACACTCCCACCAACAGTGTAGAAGTGTTCCCTTTTCATCACACCCTCTCCAGTAACTGTTATTTTTTGAGTTATTGATAATGGCCATTCTGACTGGAGTTAGGTGATATCTCGATGTGGTTTTGATTTGCATCTCCTTGATGATTAGTGAGGTTGAACATTTCTTCATGTGTCTGTTGGCTGCTCGGATGTCTTCCTTTGTGAAGTGTCTGTTCATATCTTTTGCCCATTTTATAATAGGGTTGTTTGTTTTTTCTTTTCAGCATGTTTGAGTTCCTTGTAGATCCAAGATGTTAAGCCTCTGTCGGACCTGAGGTTGGTAAATACTTTTTCACAGTCTGTAGGCTGTCTCCCTACTCTCTTGATGATTTCTTTGGCTTTGCAGAAGCTTGTCAGTTTAATGAGGTCCCACTTGTCTATCTTCTCTCTTATGGCCTGTGGGTTTCGGGTTTTGTTCAGGAATTGGATGCCAGTTCCAATTTCCATGAGGGTTATGTCCTTCCTTTTCTAAGGTTCTTATGGTTTGAGGTTTTACATTTAGGTCTCTGATCCATTTGGAGTTAATTTTTGTGTATGGGGATAGACAGGGGTCCTGTTTCAATCTTCTGCATGTGGTCAGCCAGTTTTCCCAGCATCATTTACTGAATAGGTTCTCCTCTCCCCAGTGGTAGGCGGTGGAGGCTTTGTCGAAGATGTGTTGGATATAAAATAAATGTGCAAAAGACAATCGCATTTCTCTACACCAATAATAAACAAACAGAAACCCAAATAAAAAGCACAATTCCAATCACAATAGCCACAACAAAAATGAAATACCTTCGCATCTTCCTAACCAGCGACGTGAAAGACCTTTACAATGAAAACTACAAAACACTGCTCAAAGAAATCAAAGATGACACAAACAAGTGGAAAAATAACCCATGCTCATGGATTGGAAGAATCAACATTGTGAAGATGTCCATCTTACCTAAGGCAATCTACAGATTCAATGCAATACCCATCAAATTACCAGCAATGTTCTTCTCAGACCTAGTAAAAACAACACAGGAATTCATATGGAAACACAAATGACCAAGAATAGCCAGAACAATCCTCAGCAAAAAAAAAAAAAAAAGCAAAGCAGGTGGTATCACATTACCAGACTTCAAACTTTACTGTAAAGCTACAATCATCAAAACAGCTTGGTATTGGTATAGGAACAGGCATATAGATCAATGGAATAGAATTGAGATTCCAGAAGCAAAACCTCAATTTCTTATTTTATTTTTATTTTTATTTTTTAATTTTAACTTTTATCATAA